CTTAGGGTTATAAAGCTCACAGATTGGAGAAAAGGCTGGTCTAGTGGCTAAAACACTGGGTTTGTAGGTAAGACAGCTGTGTACAGACCCCACCACTACTGTGGACCAATCTTTCCAATCCAGAGAACTATTCTCTGAATGCTGATATTACCAGGGAGATGGTGAAAATATCAGTTGTTTGGATTTTGCTTAATATGCTGTGGAACACAGTCAGTGGATTTTAACATGCTATCATAGCATGTTATGATAACTACATGTTATAAAGTTTATTGCCGAAGCTATACCCAAGAAAAACGTATCTTAGTGAATAAGTGTGTGATCAGTTATTCAGTTTACTGCATGGGAACAGGGGTAAACTTTTTATACATGAAATAGCAGTGAATACTTTGTAATATTCTTATAAAATTAATGAATCTGATTACATGTGATTCTGATATAGTTACCTGTTAGTACTACCTGCATTTAATGTTGCCAGGCACTGACTGTAATGAAGTCCATTCAGCTTTCCTGCAGAAAAGTTTCAGCCCCTCATTTTGCCTGGGAGCTAGCAAGATTCACTATGCACCATCACCTTGCACAACACAAACCTTTGTTTCTTCTTTCCACCTAACTGTGGGGGAGTCCCTGCTGCAACTCAACACAATCTCCATAACTGATAAAACAAAATTTGCATGTCTGGAGACTCTCCCTGACTCCACCGGAGAATGTGACTTTGTAGAGAGACATGATACAAATATGAACCATGTTTTTTTCTTCCCATCCTTTCTGATTTCACTTCTAAACTTCTCACCCAATGAAAAGTTCTTGGACACTCAAAAACTTGCACCAATTCATTATGCTGGGATGCAAAAACCATATCCTAATGGCCACATTCAGCTCAGCAGCACTCATTTTCTACTTTCCAAAGCACACCCAATTAAGGGGTGAAACGGGTGCCTTAAACCAGACAGTGGATTTTAAGCAGCCCTGGAACACCTCCAGTAGATCCTGGCCCCACTCACTTTGCAGTCTGGCTCTTGAAGCACTGCACAAAGCTGTGTGGCCCTTTAAAGAGGGAAGTGCACATTCTTGGTGTAAACCAGTGATTCTCAACCTTGG